CCAATGTCGCCGGCAGCCCAGCCGCTAGCTTGATGCTATCGTCTGGTACACTGATGAGGATTTCTTTATTGTCCTCAATGATTGCATTGACCCACTTCCGTTTGTCGGATTTTTGGGTATCGTCTCCCTTTCCGGGCGGTTTAGGCTTCTTTGAGGGTTCTCGTAGGGCCCTTGCATAGCATTCTCGAGCGAGACGTCTATCTCCAAGCACTTCTCCCATTCCATAGGGAGTAGGGAACTTCCATTTCTGATGGTAGGAGGAAGGTACTGACTTGAATGTGTGGATGGCTGGCCTCCCCAGAATGATGTTGTAGGGTGATGGCCGGTCGACGACGAGGAACTTGATTAGTTTCGTGATTCGACAGGGGTCTTCCCCTAATGAAACAGGCAGCTCCACTTCTCCCATTGACAAAATGCCTTCTCCTGTGAATCCTTTCAGGGGTGTGGAGATGGGACTAAAACGGGCATTATCTATGCCTAGCTGCTTAAAAGCATGGAGGTACATGATGTCAGCTGAGCTCCCACCATCCACTAATATTTTTTTGACCAAGAAGTTGGCCACCGTTGTTGTTACCACTAATGCGTCGACATGGTCTTCCTCTGGACCTTCAAGGTCGGAGGAGTTGAAGACTATGCTGTGATCAGGTCTTCGTATCTGATATACGCGTTCGGATGGAGAAGCGCGTTCTTGATTCATGCGCGCTGATCGAGCGAGTGTGCGTCTTGCATTATGTGAATCGCCTCCCGCCGGTCCTCCGGAGATGAAGGAGATGATTCCTCGGGTAGGTTGGTTATCATTGTTATTTAGGTCACGTCGATGACCTCCATCCTCTCGTCTTTGCTGCTGCTCTCGATTGTTATCTCGCCGTGGAGGATCATCACGGCGCTTATTTCGCGGCTTATCAATGTATTCGCCTAAATGGCCTTGTTTGATCAGCCTTTCAATCGCCATTTTGAGTTGTGCACATTCTTCCGTAGTATGCCCTCTGTCCTTATGGAATCGGCAATACCGATCCGATTTCTCTCGCTTTGCGTTTGGCTGCATAGGACGTGGAGGTTCTGTTAAACCTTTCTGCTCTATCACGTGAAGGATTTCTGTGAGGCGAGCGTTTAGCGGAGTGAACCTATTGTAGGAGGAAGAGGGTTGGGTTTGAGGTGGAAATGGTGGACGTCGGTCGTCACGTCTACTAATACTAATACTAATACTAATATTGTGACAAATACTAATACTAATGTTAATACTAATTCTCATGCTACTATTAATTCTAATATTAATTATAATATTAATAATAACATTAATACTAATACTAATAATAATACGAATATGAATACGAATACAAATACTAATACTAATACTAATACTAATACTAATACTAATTAATATTAATACTAATACAAATAGTAATACTAATACTAATATTAATTCTAATACTAATACTAATACTATTTACAATATCAATGCCAATGATGGCTCCTTCGACCCTACACCTGGTGATAACACCGGGTGGGTCTTCTGCTGCCACGTCCTTTTTTTTTTCTTCTAAAACTCCTAAAGGTAAACTCTAGCGGGGAATATATTGTAACAATAATAACTAAAGTAATGATAATACTATTACTAATATTAATATTAATAGTAATACTAATACTAATACTAATACTAATACTAATACTAATACTAATACTAATACTAATACTAATACTAATACTAATATTGATACCGATACTCATACCGATACTGATATTAATACTGATACTAATACTGATACTCATACTGATATTGATAGTGATAGTGATAGTGATAGTGATAGTGATACTGATACTGATACGAATATTCATACTGACACTGATACTTGGTACTGATACTGGTACTGGTACTGGCACATGTATAGGTACTGATACTGGAACTGGTACTGATACTGGTACTGGTACCGGTATTGATACTTATACTGATACAGATACTGATACAGATAGTGATACTGATACTGTTGATACTGATTTTGATATTGATACTAATACTGATACTGATATTGATACTGATATTGGTACTGATATTGGTACTGATATTGATACTGATACTGATACTTATACTAACACTAACAGTAATACTGATATTTATACATGTTCTAAAATTCATATTAATACTAATATTGATATTAATAATTACATTAATACTAATATTAATAATAAGACTAATACTAATAGTAATACTTATACTAATGTTAATACTGATACTGATATTGTGACTGATGTTAACGTTAATACTAATACTAATACTAATACTAATACTAATACTAATACTAATACTAATACTAATACTAATATTGATATTAATACTTATATTGATATTGATATTGTGATTGATGTTAATTCTAATACTAATATAAATATTGAAAAATATATTCAAAATAATATTACATATATTTTAGTACTAATTCAATTACACATTTAATTACAATATTTTGCATGTTCATTTGTAATACGCTTAAAAATAATTTTATTTTTAAATATAAAAATATTATAAAAATACTAATCTAACGATTTATACTACTAAACTGAATTAAATAATTATAATAAAAATAAAAGAAATCTAAATAATTAATTTATTCTTGTAATAAATAGATACATTTACGAATTTAAATATAATATTTGGAATATATTAGTAAATTATATGAATGATGCAATTTTATATGTGAAAATGTTACATGTATATGCGGATATATATATATCATAAATGAGTGTGCAAATTTAATCTAGGAATAAACTTAAGTACATACCAAGCTAAAAATGATGACTAAGTAATTGACTAATACACATAATCATTTTAGTGCCAACTAAGCAATTTGGAGGTTTGACATAGGCATTTGACACATGTCATTCATTTAGGCTATAGATCTCTTTTTTGTATTATATGTAGATAGATACTATGCGGGGATTGTTTTATAATTTTATTAAAATATTGTGTAAACAATTATTTAACAATTATTGTTATGGCCCCTAAACAATATTAAAAAATAACAATGATAAAATATAAACAATTTATAAGAAGTAAACAATTAAAAAATATAAAAAGTAACAAAAGATTTAAATGAGCAAACATAGGTAATAATATTAAGATAAACGAACAACTAATTATTAATAATACAAAATCAAATAGAAAAAAACTAGTTTAACTGATATTCGTACTTTTGTTATATTAAGTGTGTTGTCAAGCGCAAACGAATATATATTGCCAACTAACATCTCATTCGATAAACAAAACGTAGTTAAATTGTGAAAATAAAGAAAGCAATTGTGAAAATATATATTTTATAGTTTAATTGAATGATAAACGACAACAAAGAAGGCTATAGTGAAAGTACACAAATAGATCATAGTGTATCACCAAAGTATTAGTAAGAAAAAAATAATTCAAAAATATTCGTTGTGATTAAAAGAAAAAGAGAAATAATAAGAATGGTGCGATGAAAAAAGAGAAATCCTACTGTATATTATTAATTCATAATATGTTATTATTATAATTATATTTAAAACGTTTTCAAGTATAAAAATAATACATAATTTATGATAGTATTAAGGAATAATTCATAGTCAGTTGACATAATAGAATAAAAAGAAAATACATAAAAATATGAATATCATCATTAGAGAAACATAATTAATATAAAAATTTGACATCGTGTACAAAAGAATTATTGGTTGTAACTTTGAGTAGTATTTGGAACTCATCTGTAAATGATGTATGCAATACAATACTATTTTCGACAACCCTTTGTAAGTTTCAACACCTAGATTATTTTTTTGCCTCCAATTATACGTCAAACGGTATAATATATACAAATTTGTGTACAGTGTTCGGACACGTCAATTGCCATTGTAGTTATCTGAAAAGAAGAAAAAAATAATAACGATGAACACGTACTGTATATATAAAAATATTGATTAAAATAAATTATTAATTAATAAGAAATACAAATTAAAACTTACTGATAACCCTGACAACCCTTTGTAAGTTTCATCACCTAGATTATTTTTTTCGCCCCCACTTATACGTCAAACGGCATAATATATACAAATTTGTGTACAATGTCCGGACTCGTCAATTGCCATTGTAGTTATCTGAAAAGAAAAAAAATCATAAAGATGAACATTGTATATATAAAAATATTGATTAAAATCAATTATTAATTAATAAGAAAACAAATTAAAACTTACTGATACAATAAAAATTACAATTCAATAGCTGAATTGTACACAAAATAATTAAAATCATGATATGAAAATACAAATACACGTCAATAGTGAAAAAAAAAATCCTCAATACAAATGACAAAAGAACTAACTCACAAAATGAAAATAAAATGATGGTGGAATAAAGTGAATATGTGGGGGGTTTATATACTTGTCTATAAATGATGAAAAAAGAAACAATCAATTAAATATAGTAATAATATCAAAAACATTAAATACAATAAAAGGAGGATATATTTTGTATTGAGAAGAAATATTGTAGATATATATTATAGGAAGTATGTAAAGAAGTGAATATTAATATATTTTAAATCCTATCATTTTAGTGGATATTATTACACTTCCAATACTTACTATCCTAATTGTAAATATATTAGGAGATTCTGAATTATTTGAAAAAAAATCTATACACATGTTAGTTTTAACTAAAAAAAAATCGATATATAAATAAGGGTAAAATTCATTTTGCACCCCTGTACTATGATAAATATATCGTTTACCCCCCTGAAGTATTGAAAACATCAAATACCCCCCTGCCGTTAGTTTTTTTCTTCTAATTTCGTTAGTCAAACCCTTTGACCGACTATTGCAAAGAAATGTTGGCTTTTTTTTAACGAAAATACCCCAAAAATTTTCTATATATAGATTTCAGGGCTTTTAGTTTTCATTTTTTGTGGGTTTTGTGCCGTTAGTTTTCCTATATATAGAAACTTTTTTGGGGTATTTT